AAAAAAAAAATTCCAACGTGAGACAGCTGTGTTCGTGATAAACAGTTGTAGTAGTCTTGCTGAATTTTAACCTACTGGTATATGTAGGACAATTAGCATCAGCGAAATATTATAAAGAGTTCCAAAGCATCTAGTGGCTGTGGAAGTGGCCGATGACAAGAATAGCGACTATCAGGTAATCACTCAATTGATTAATGTTTACTGAGTGTCTGCTCTGTGCCAGGCACTGTGCCAGGCGCTGCAGGGGAAACCAAGAAGTGTACACCTCCCGCTGTGTCCTAGCGCTGCTCCAGGACAGCTGAGCTGACCCTTTAGTAATTACTTTTTACTTAAGTGCTTTCCAATTACATGGTTATGAGAGAACTGCGTATGAAAATAGTTTTTAACATTATGCATACCATATCCTCTGGAAATTTCAAAAAGAATAATTTGAAGTTCCCCTTTAAAACAAAATTCTTCAGTTGTATTTTGTTCTTGCAAGAGAACCTTTTATTTTTCCCCAAATTGTGTGCATATGGTCCTTTGGTCTGTTATCAAAAGTGCCACGTTAGCCTCCTCCCGATTCGTATGTGATTTGGATGTGGTAGGGGAAAGATAGTGCTGTAAGAGAAAATACAACTGCTTCCTAAATAGCAGCGCATCACCTGCTATTTACGTGGAATTCTCTATTCCTCTCGGCAAATTCTAATCTGCAGTGTGCATTCTTGTTGATAGTTTGGCTGTTTTCTGTGGTTTCTGTGACTCTGTGTTGTGTTAAGTATACTACCAATGTAAATTGCTAATACCCATTGTCTGACCAGCAACTACAGCAGAGCACATTCTTCCGTACCAGGGTGGACAAAAACGATTAGAAATGGAGCCCCATTCCAGAATATCTGTTATTCTAGCGAGATTTTTTTTGTTTATTATTTCTACACTCCCGCCCTATTGGCTTTCAAAACCTAGACATTCCACTTTTACCATTTAAATTAATGAAATCTCTTCATAAATTATTATGATGATAAGCTTTTTTATTTACTAATTATAATGAAATTATATTCACAATAGCCTAGAAAAAGAGTAGAGGACAACTTTGTGCTTTTTTTTTTTTTTTTTGGTCACTCAAAATAATTGAGTTCTTTTCAGGGTGGGTGCTCATTAGACAGCTCTCTACTATGTTGTAATTTACTACTATATTAGAGAAGAATTAAGAAGCTTTGCTTTGGGCCTTGGTCTTTCCCCATTTCCCCATCTTCTTCCTCTCACAGTTGACTAATCACCATTATGCTAACATTTAAAATACGGAGGGGGAAAAATCCATTTCTCATTGTTCAATGAGTTTTGAAACAACTGTGTTGTATATATCTTGTAAGAATCTCATCCATACTAATGAAAGGCACTGAACATTTGTGTAGAGGTGGTTGGCAAAGTTTCGCCTTGAAACTGCTTTCCTTTTTTTCCCAAATAAGGTGGGGAGGGTAAAGGTGCCATGAAATCGTCCTTAATCGGCAGCGCAGCCCAATTCAGCATTGGTGATTGGCCCTTAACTATCTGGCTTGCCCTTCACAGGGATTAAAGCAAACTGATGTCATTGGTTCCCCATTTGTGTATTTTATTTGCACCTCACCAGCTGGTGCATTCAATGAAGGAATCATTAAGTTCCTTGCACAAATACTTTACCTATTTCTGTAGCACACTAAGGATTACGTTTAAAAAAAAAAAAAGTCACTGTTCCCACTTTGAGAATTACATGTTTTAATTGAGGACCAAAACCAGTCTGATTCATTTTTGCTAAAAATTGTGAAAGGCATTTTTTAACCATCACGTATGTCTTAGTTGATCTACTGAGACTGAGTTTTCCTTTGATTCGGGCCGTAATGGATACCAGATGAACATCAGTTTGGCCTCTTCGCTGCTGAAGGGCAGACAGTGCTTTTCTACTTAGTGACCTGATCTTGATTTTTCTGAGTTTCTCTTAACTTGTCGCTCACTTCGTGCACTTCCAAAGTTGAGTGGGGAAACAGCAGTTTGTAATTTCAATTTTTTCATGCCACCATTGCATTGTTTGCTGAGAAAGTCTTTCTGGGATACTGAGACAGCATGGAAATTCCCCTCTGAATTCCTTTTCTAGTTCCTTTTGGCTTCTGCTTTAAGGCCTTTGCTAGATTTTCAGGTAACCCAGACACAGTGTTTCTACTGAATTTGCTATTACTAGCACAGTGGAAAAGCAAAACTAGAGATACCCTGCACCCTACCTAGGTGAGGGCCTTGGGTGGGGTAATCGTGCTAATGATGTGGCCCATTGATGCTGGTCCTAGAGGCCTGTCCCTGGAAGCAGCTTTCCACTTTACTTCTCCACTTTGGATTTTTTTGAACTAAACTTTCATGAAGACCAGAGAAGTGCTTTCATCTTGATAACTTCAAGAGGACATTTTGGTTGGCAAGAGACATTGGCTGTTTTTAAACCTTTCGGTTATCTCCAAGTATGGTAAGGAGTCTGTTGTGTGGCGTTCAGGTCCTGTGACTTTGTTCTCCACTAAAGGACCCCCTTTCACTGAGAAATCTCTAATGTCACCTGCTACAACAACTGTGCCCTTCATTTTCCTTTGGCTAATCCTATTTTTCTTTTTTAATGATTTTCTGTTTAGCTATCAAAGGATTTTCACCACAACATAAGATCACTAGCTTCGAGGAAGCTAAGGGCTTAGACCGAATTAACGAGAGGATGCCACCTCGCAGAGATGCCCTGCCCTCTGACGCCAACCTTAACTCCATCAACAAGGCTCTCACCTCAGAGACTAACGGCACGGACAGCAATGGCAGTAACAGCAGCAATATTCAGTGACCACTTCCTATTCACTTTGGTTTTTTTGTTTTTGTTTTGTTTTTTTTTTTTTTTTGAGCTGCAGGGCGTTATGGTGGTTACTGCATATATCAGCGGTTAGATATATTCTTGCCTCTGACAGTAGCTTATTTGCTCTGGGGGCCAGGAATTGGATTCAGTTTACACTATCATTAAAAAAAAGAGAGGGAGAAAGAGAATAAACTATATTTTGGTGGGGGTGGTGACGAAACACCTCTTTGGGGTATGCCTTTTAAAAATGCTTCTAGGGAAAAAAATTTTACAAAGAAAGCTAATGCTAGTATATTCTGGAATGTTAGGGGAATGAACGTGTTTTCCTACTACTTTGGGGACTTCTAGGTAGGTTAATGAAAGGCCTTTTATTCTGTTACTGGACATGAAAACTTTGTCTAATTTCTTACTCTATTGTACGTTTACAGTTGCAGCACTAAAAATGGATGACATCAAACATTTTTAACAAAATGATGTACAAACTAAATAAGGACTATTTATTGATAATGTTTTGCTACTCTTGTCAGACAATGGCTATGAACCGAATTAGGCAGTCTTAAAAAAAAAAAAACAGAAAAAGAAAAAAAAAAAAAGAATGTTGCAAATTTGTTAAAATGCCAAAAAGGACAGTTTAATTTTGTACAGATTATGCTTACCTCAGGTTTCTTTAGTGTGCTTGGATGCCCTTCTTTCCATATAACACTTATTAATTTGGCAATGAATATCTTTTCTTTAAGTTTAAAAAAAAAACTGGAATAATGACTTCTATCTTTTTTTTTTTTTTT